GAAGATGTTGTGTCCAGGTGCAGCTTTTTCAGCTTTTATCCTGATTGGTGTTCTGTGGTTTCTGAATCTATAGATTGATGTTTGATATTAGTTTGGGGAAATTCTCAGTCATTATTGTTTTAAATATTTTAAATATTCTCTCTCTCCCGCCCCCTTTTGTATTCTTATTTTGAATGGTACACCTTCAGTTGTCCTATAGTTCTTGGATTTTCTATCTTGCTTTTTTTTGTTGTTGTTTTTGTTMTTGTTTTTTTGTTTTTTTGGCTTTGGAAGTTTCTACTGATTTATTCTCAAATTCAGAGATTATTTTCTGAGTTGTGTCGAGTCTACTAATGATCCCATCAAATACTTTAATTTCTGTTACATGTTTCTGAGCTCTAGAATTTTGTTTTGTTCTTTTTTACGATTTCCATCTCTTTGCTCCTATTTTCATCTGTTTTTGCATGTGTCTACTTCGTCAGTTAGCACCCTTGGCAGATTAATCATAGTTGTGTTAAATTCCCTGATAATTTCAACATTCTTGCCATGTTTGGTTATGATGTTTGCTCTGTCTCTTCAAACTTTTTTTGTTTTGTTTTGTTTTGCCTTTAATATGCCTTGCTTCTTGCTAGCCAGACATTAGGTATTGGGGAAAGGCTATAAATGGGTTTTAATGATATTGTGGTAAGGTGTAGGGGGAGGGGAAGGGCTGTAGGTCTTATGATTAGTTCTGTCTTTTAGTGAGCTTGTACCTTAGCTCCCCCTCCATCATTCTCTCTATCCACCCATCTGTCTCTGCAGTTTTCCCAGGGGAAGTAGTGTTTTGCCTTATTACTTCAAATAAGTTATTTAGAAACATATACACATGTATTTGTAAATCATCAAGAGCAAGTATTATTTCTAGGCAAGAGACTTTTGGGGTTGTGGCTCAGTGGTAGAGCACTTGCCTAGCATGTGTGAGACACTGGGTTCGTGAGGCACCACATAAAAATAAACAGATAAAATAAAGATATTGTGTCCATCTACAACTAAAAAAATATTTTTTAGAAAAGACTTGAACAAAGAGGTTCGTAGAAACTGTGTTTGCTTCCCCCTTTGAAAATATATAAACATTTTATTTTTTTTTAAAGATGGAGAGCTTCCTGGGATCCTTGTTTTAAGTATATAGGCCAGGGGTAGTTGCACACACCTGTGGTCCCAGTTAATCTAGAGGCTGAAGCAGGAGGATCATTTGATTCCATAAGTTTGAGCCTAGTCCAGGCAATATAGCAAGACCCCATATCAGAAAAAAGAAGATAAACTCTGAATCCTGAAATATGGGTATAGTCTGAAAATCTCTGTCTCATGAAAGAGATTTTACAGAGAGTTCCCCCCAATTGGAGGGTCTTAATGAGGGTTTATAGAGGGTCTTAAATGCCTAGCTGGAAACTATGGGTCTTCATTCAGTAAAAAATAAGGTATCATCAAAGGCTGAGCATGTGATGCTCCTAGGGTCTGGCACAGGCTAGGGAAGTGCTCATCACTACAGTTGTGTTTAAGGAAAGATTCTACCATCTTAGTCCAGAGGTGTGTGTTTGTATATGTCATGAAAAAAGAAAATCTGCCTTATAAAACAGTTGATGAAGGAAAATCACGGATCAAGAAAGGATGCATATCTTTATTCTAAGTGATTATAACTTCTTTATGTAGCAAACTCTTTAGAGTAATATAACCCTGCAAAATGTAATATGTACATTACATAATATGTGTTCTCAGATCATGTCTTATTTAATCCACTTAAGACACCTAAGAGACATAGGGTATTTTAAGTACACCAGCAAGCTGCTCAGATTCATTGTAACAGCATCTTTCTCTCCCTCCCTCCCTCCCTCCCTCCCTCTGTGTGTGTGTGTGTGTGTGTGTGTGTGTGTGAGATAGTTTTAAACACATTTTCCCCCTCTAAGAAGATTAAACTGTTTATAGCAGGGGGGAAAATCCACATACCTTTTATAAGCTGCTTATTGTTGTAACACAGATTAACTTCACAGCACATAAAGAGAATACTGGAAAACACTTGCATGATTAAATATGCCCCTAGAGGATTAAGTTTTTCCACATAATTTTCAGCCAGTGCTATTAATAATGTTTCTGCATTAAACTTTCTGTACATCCTGATTGCCTGTCCTTTGTTCTTCCCTTCTGTTAGTTTTTCCACTGTCAGATTTGTGGCATTACAAAATTATCTGTGGAAACATAGGCTTCAAATCTGAAAGTTTAATAAGTTCCAAAAAAGTATCATGTCTGGAATTATTCCAGTCTTGTTTCCCCCCTAAGTTTTTGTCCATTTCAAACTCATTTCATCTTTTATCTTACTGGAATCCTGGCATAAGGTAGCTATTTACCAAGCTTAGGGATTCACTCAGAAATAAGTTGATTATTAAATACAAAGTATTTATAATTTTGAAAAAGGTCATTTAATTTTCATGCACATTCTTCCTAAGATAACATCCTGGTTTATAAGGAATCTCATTATTACTGAGGAATTATTTATTAAATGCCTTTTTATCCAGGCCTTGGTTGTCCAATTAATTTCCTGTGGCTAATCAGCCTGAGACTTGACTTTGTGGATACCCTGCCCCTCCAGCTCTCTAGGGTTCCCAACCTTTGATCCCACTGCCTGCAGGTCATCTTTCTTTACCAGCCTCAGACTGTTGTCAGGTCCTTTGAATGGTGCTCACCAGCCCCTGGGTATTGGCCTTGTCTCTGTTATCYTTTTTTCCTGCCAGTCCCCAGTGTCTGGGCTCTGATGGGTTCTTAACCACCTTTTTCCAAAAAACGTTTCTGTCCTGACTCAGGTTGCTTGCACARTGATGTGCTTTGGTTAGCTTCCCCTCTCATAGCTTCCCCATTTTGTGCATGCTCCATGGCCCTTCCATCCTCAACCTCTTCTGGCAGCAGATGATGTTGTGCTGCTGCTTAGATCCTGCCTCCCTTTTCACTATTACACCTTTGCTCACYCTGTCCTCCTCACTGCTGTGCCTTGGGGAGAGCTGCCACCTTCTTCATGGGTGGTTCAGGGTTTCTTCCTCTGCCTCTTTGGAGCCCTTTCTCTGGCACTGAAATTAAAGTTTTAATACTGTTTAAGTAATATATGTACATGGTTTTAAAGATTCAAGTAACTCAGGTGGAGTATCTCCTCTGAAATGCTTACAACCATAAGTGTTTCAGATATTGGAATATTTGCATATCTTAGAGTTCATAAAATTCATTTATGTTTCATATGTATCTATACATGCAGCCTAAAGATAATTTTATACAGTATTTTTGTTCTACCTTTGTTATGAATGAGACTTACCACTTGAGATCTTGTGTGGAATTTTCCATTGTGTCATGTCAACACTCAAAAAGTTTTGGATTTTGAAGCATTTTGAATTTCATATTTTCACATTAGGAAGCCTCAGCCCATAGAATAAAATAATATTTGCTACTTTCTACAGTTTAGAGTTCCTGTGATCATTGATCCCTGTGACAATTGTTTTTGTTTCTAAGAACAAGTTACTTTTCTCATTGTTCTCATTGCAAGACTATTGGCCTTTTATCTTCTGATTTTTTTTATGATGATTCTAAAACACCTTTATTCATTTTACTGAGTGTACACTTAAGTATTTTCTAGTTTGGAGCTGTTGTGAATAGTGCTGCTATGGACACTTGCACTTGTGCCTTGTGTTGCACATATGTACGCATTTTGTTCAGTGTGTGTGTGTGTGTGTGTGTGTGTGTGTAATAAAATACACACATATGAGTAGAATTGCTAGATTATAGGGCATATAAGTGTTAAACTTCTAAAATGGTTGTTTCATTTTGCACTTCTATGAGAGTCCTGGTTGTTTTGCATATTTGTCAGCACTTGGTATTTTCTTTTTCATTTTAGCCTTTTGGGTAGGTTTAAAAATACATTTGGGTAGCTTGTGTGTCACATTTGTAACAAAATCCTTTTGTTCCACCCTTTCCTGTGATACTTTAAATTTCTTTTTCTTGGCTGTTTCTCCATCTGGTGTTTGTTTTCTATCAAGTGAATTTTAGAATCAGTAACCTCAAATCTTCTAGATTTTTTGGTGAATTTACATGACACTTTATTTGGGAAAAATTGGGATCTGAACTAGAAAATGATATTGTTATTCTAAGAAGGACAAAAGTGATAAATACTAAGCATGCCCAGTTTTTTGCCTACCAGATTGCACCATTATCTCTCTATTTTAGAGATAATTTTTCTAACTTTTCCTTTTGATTTCCCTTTTAACAAGTGTGCTAGTCAGCTTTCCATCACTATGCCAAAATACCTAAGAGAAACGCTTTGTAAGGAAGAAAGGCAGCTGGGCGCAGTGGCACATGCCTAAGATCACAGCAGCTCAGGAGGCCAAGACAGGAGGATGACAAGTTTGAGGATAGCCTCAGCCTTAGCAAGGCCCTATTTCACACTAAAAATTGAAAAGACTGAGGATGTAGCTCAGTGGCATAGTGCCCCTGGGTTCAATGCCTGGTACACCCAACCCCCCAAAAGGAAAGGTTTGTTTTGGCTTATGGGGTCAGAGGTCACTTGGTTCTGCTCTTTTGGGGCCTATAGTAAGGTAGAACATCATGGTGGGGAGCCCCTTTCATGGCAGCCAGAAGCAGAAAGGAGAAAATTGAAGGATATGTGAACAGAATATACCTTTCAAGGACCTGCCCTCTCATGACCTACTTCCTCCAATGAGGACTCACCTCCTAAACTTGTCACTACCTCCCAATAGCCTGTTAAGCWATTCATCAATAGATTAATCCAGTGATGAGCTTAGAACCCTCATGATCCAGTCACCTTCMAAGGGCCCCTCCTCTGGGCATTGCCACCTCTTGTTTATTGAGCAAGCCCTCAATACACAAGATTTGGGGGGTATATTTCGGAAACAAACATAGCAAGTTCTTGTTAGAAATGAAAGTCTTTTTAAATATGCATTTTAAATCTGCATCTTCCTTTCTAAAAATACAATTCTTTTTTTTTACAGGTTCTTGATCAATATGAACGAGAAGGATTTAATTTCCTAGCAAAGGTGTTTAATTCTTCACATTCCTTCTTGGAAGACTTGACTGGTCTCACATTGCTGCATCAAGAGACCCAAGCTGCCGAGGTAAGAACAAAACAAGCTTTCTGTACTGAGGAATTGATATTTGAAACCTATTTGATATTTGTCTTTCTGGAAAAAGGTAGAAAGCAATTAATTTTGACCTTTTTCCTCAGAGGTCATATCACTAAGCGAGTCTGATAGTTATGAGAAGAAAGAATCTTCAGTAGTGACTGACAATGGCGTGTGTGGGTCACTGTCCATTTGTTGCCTAATGCACAAAATTAATGATAGAAAAAGTACAAGTTATTGATTTCCACGTACTCCTTGTCCGTACTGAAGATGAACATGAGTGTGGCCATTGGAGAGTTGCTTCCAGTGTCCGTGTATCAAAATGCAAATTAGCACAGCTGGTGGGCTCTGGCCCCATGGTCTTTAGAAATGACATACTGGCTTGTATTTCACAATTTGATCAGTCATCTTAAGCACTGAATGATATTATGAAATGGATTCTCCTGTAACAACCTTGGTGGGAGAGTTATGATTTGTTTCTCCACTAGAATATTTTGCAGCTCTTTATTTCCTGGATCATTGCAAACCTCCCCCCCCCCCGCCACAAAAGAAGTCTGGAATTTAAAAAATACCTTATCATTTTGTTTTTTTCCAAATGTTCAGTGTTCTTAGAAAAGGGAATGCTGTGTGTGCGTGGTAATGGAGCTATGTGGGTCAATTGGCAAAATGTACAGTTCCTCAAAATGGGTGACTAAGTGAGATCAGCATCTCCTAAATCATCATGTTTCCCCTTTAGCACCTGGGTGAAGAAGCTATTAGGAGAAATGGGGTCTGTGTCGGCATTTCCACAAGTTGTCTGTTTAAGTCCAGGAAAACCTTGACTTCCCATGTCCTGCAGGAGTGGTACAGGTGCTGAGTTGCCATTAGTCCTGTTTGCTGGTAAACTCCTTGTAATGGGTTGTGTATCCTTGATACAGGGGAAGGCCCCGAGTTGTCAGTGAGTAGCTGGCCAAGCCCAATACTGGACCAGCCAAATGTGAAAATGTTGCTGTTTGGAGGGGTGAAGCTGGCACTGARTATAGGAAACTATGTGGAAATAGCAGAGCTGAACTCCTTGGAGCTTTAAGCAGACAAAGGTGAGATTTTTCAGATGCTCCAGGAATCAAGCTAGTACATGTAAGGTGCTGGACTTAGAATTGACACTGATTCTTTTTAAATTTGCTTTGGTGTTATGTGGGCATTAAACAGACAAGTTCTTCCACTGATGGACAATAGTTAGAACCCTAGGGAATCTCTTCTCTTCRGTTTCAGGAGATGACTGGCATCTTTGCAGGTCTTTGAGTGACTCTGACAATTTCTCCCAGAGCTGTGATTGGATTCCCAAACAGGGCTCAGAACATGTTGATTTTGGCCACTATTTTGTCTTTCGAGCAGCACCGTCCTGCCTGGTGGTGTGGGAAAAGTAATGGAGATCTGTGCAACTTGCAATCACTTGATGAGAGGGCCTGGGGAAGGTTTGCCACCCAGCTAGATATAGTTTATATATTTCTCATTAGTTGGCTGGAAAAATTGCAACTTGAAATTGACCCACCTTTCACTCTTCAGAGCAGATGCTAGGATGATGGGCAGATTCCTTGATTGAACCAGGTGTGTTTTGCATTTTCATTGGTCAAATGTTGAGAGTCTTTTTGAAGACTCAAAAGAGAAGCGGAGATTTAAGAGAACAATAGTGACTTAATGGGTGGTGGGGCAGGAAGGGCATGGTTTCACCTACAAGCCTGAGTTTTCCTTTTTAATATTCCACCATTAAGTTATATTTATGGTATGGAATCATAAGCCACACATCAGATTTTAAAGATGATAAACTGGTTGGCCTGTGAGCCAGATGTGGCTTGTAGTTCTGGTGTTTTGGCCTGCCTTACATGTTAAATTCTGAATAAGGCCAACATTGGAAAATCACAAGTTTTACATAAAAGTCTGGATTTTCCCATTTCAACTTCTTTGAAAAAATCAGATCTGGCAACTGTACRTCCACATTCCTTCATAGTGATGCTCAGCTAGAGCTGAGAATGAYATTTTATGGATCACTAATGTAGTTGATACAGTCTGAAGACAAAAAAAAAAAAATCTTCTGTGAAGGGCTGGGGTGTGGCTCAGTGGTATTGTGCATGCTTAGCAGGCAATAGACCCAGGGTTGGACTCCCAACAAAGTACACACACAACCACAAAAATAAATAAATAGGTAAAACTCTTTCTTCTATGCCTACTTCTCAGTCCCYAGTTTCCTTCCTGGAGACAGGCACACTTGTTAGTTTGCTTCCCAGAGATGTTCTTTGGGAATATTTTCCATATATTTTCTGCTCTGCAGTTGCTGACACTTATAGGTATTTAGGTTTATAATGCTTGCCATGGAAAAAAGATCATTATATTCCTTGAAAAACTCTAAACAGAACTGTTTTAAGAGAAGACCTTAACACACAAAATACAGTCTTACTAGAGGACCTAATAGTAACAAAAATTTTATGTTACTATGAAAAATATGTGTGTGCTTGTAAAGCAAAATAAATGTATTATCAACAAATAAAAACATATATATGTAAAGGTAGTATTTTGTTTTACATACTTTATTTCCAATGTTTTTACATATATTCAGTGATGAAAGTACAAAGTTAGCTGGACATGGTTGTATGCAACTTGGGAGGCTAAGAAAGGAGGATTGTAAATTTGAGGGCAACCTCAGCAACTTRGGGAGATCCTGTTTCAAAAAGTAAAAAGGGCTGGGAATGTGGCTCCGTGGATAGTGCCCTGGGTTAGATTCCCAGTACCAAAAAACAAAGCACAAAAATCTACCCTCCATATAGAAAAGCTCCAGCTTATTTATATTAGCAACCTTGTCCATCAACATCAGAATTGCAAAAGATTCAACCAGATACTTATATGTGACAATATCATTGTATACCTTGTTTAAACATATATATATGCAGTGTGTGTGTGTGTGTGTGTGTGTGTGTGTGTGTGTGAGAGAGAGATGCTGGGGATTAAACCCAGTGTCTCATGCATGCCACACAACTGCTCTAAATAAGTAAATAATACTTATTAAATACTATATACAATATTTTTGAAAATTACTGAAGATCTTTTAAAAATTTGATACTAGACACTGTGGTAGTCACTGAATACAGAAATGAATGAGACACTGACCCTCCCAGGCTCATAGTTGAGTGTGAGAAGCAGAGATGTAAATCCTGAGCTCTAGTATCATTAAAAAATGTCTTGGGGGCTGGGGTTTGGCTCAGTGGTAGAGCGCTTGCCTAGCATGAGGCCCTGGGTTCGATTTTCGGCACCACATATAAATAAATAAAGGCCAGTTGACAACTAAAGATTATATCTTAAAAAAAAAAAAAAAGTCTTTCATGTGAAGTATTGAGAGAGCAGTTGCTCCTACCTGGGGTAATGAGGTATCAAGAAGAGTCTCCCAGGAAGAGAACAAATGTTTCCATTAGTTTTGAAGGATAAGCTATTTTTAAAAATAAAGTTGGACTTTGGCAGGAATGGGGAGGACCAGGTACCTGGGGCTTCTTCAGCCAATTCAGGTCTCTGAGGCCGAGTCTTCAGAGTGTTTTTCAGTATCGTGAGCAGTCTGATGCAGTTGAGCCAAAGTTACTAAACTCAAGATGCATTTTAAATAGCAGCTTTATTGAGTTGTAATTCATATATCATGGAGCCCATTCTTTTTCAAAGTGTATAATTTAGTGGTTTTCTCATATATTCTGGATTGTGCTACCGTTACCACTATCTAACTCTTAAGTAATTCATGGCCTCCCAAACAAACTTTATAGTTTCCTGTATCCTTCAACACCTATGGTCTGTCTGCCCCCACATTCTCCTTGGTGAATGAAGAATGTAAAGCTGATCCCACTAGAGACACCAAGTGCCTTTATTTTCATGAACAGGGGCCCATTGTATTGTATTAGAACATGGATCCAAAGCRGGACCATCCAGATTTGGTGAGAATGACTAATATAACCCTAAATTTTGCACTCATGTCCCCTCTTCCACCATCACATATCCAAAAATGACTGCTGGTTGCTGGTGTATTGGTGTTACCATTGGGATTAGTGGGCAAATTCCTGGAGAGTTTTGTTAGAGGAAGGGTTGTAGTGCAAGAGCACAAGTTGGTCCTGGAGCCCAGGCTTGTGGAGATGTGTTCATTTCAGGTAGTGATGATTTTAAGGTAATGGAGTAAAGACAACTGATGGCATTGGCGATGGATGAAATTGGAACCTTGAGGGAAGAAAAGAACTGGTAAATTAATATGGCCAAATAAAGGAAAATTATCCTCTATTTAGCACAAGGAAGAGAGGCTGTAAAACTAGGGTATAATTTTTTATAAATTTAAATGAGAAATATGTGTTTTAATGAGATTAATGTTATCTAAGGTTACATGTAGAAAAATTAAATACACTCATCACAGAGCCATTTGTCTTTGCCAGTGTTATAGTTCATAACGAAGGGGCCTCAGTCAGGCATCAACAGGCATCAGTATTTTTTGTAGGCTATCTGGTTGCCAAAATATAATTATGTTCTATGAGAAGGTTCTGCAGAGGAAGGGCCTCACTCAGCTCCCAACTTCTATTGCCAGGTAAATAAGATAATTTTTACCTTTATTTTCAAGGCCCCCTTATTAAGAATGATTGGGGTCTTTAGAGATTGGCCCTGACTTGGTATTCCTCTTTGATCTCTCTTTATCTTATTTGGAGCCTAAAAAATGACCTTAAAGTAGTCAACCAGCAAGGTGTTCAAGTCAAACTCTTCAGGAGTTTGCCAAATTTTTTTTAATTGCCGCATGTGTTGAAGATCTAAATCAAACATGTGAATGCCTTAGCCATGTTCCACAAAATGTGCTCTGACTTATCCTCCTAGGGTTATTTCTCATACTGTGGATGAAATGTCAGTTTCCATGTATTTTCTGTGTTCCACCTGTGGGTTCAACATTGTGCTGTGAGAAATGCCAAAAATCTTCCAACTGAATCTAGCTTAGAGAAAAGACTGAT